GATATTTTCTGGAGGTAACTGCGTAGTTGAGGGATTAGACCCTGAGTATGGCATCACTGAAACCATTCCTTAACCAGAATTTTCTAAGAAACTTCCTGAGAGTTCACACTTAGGCACACAGCCATGGTTCAAACTCAGCTTGATGTGGCTCCAAAGCTAAGGTATCTGCCATAGGACAACCAACTTCTAGACTCCTCAGGGCTTTGATTGCTGTGGCCAAATCTTTCAAGGAGGAAATAAGGTAGCATTTTGTTGTTGTTGTTTTGTTAACTAATGGTCCTTGGATTTAACTCTCATATAAACATAAGGAAAGTGAATAAGTTTATTTCCACATGTTTCTAGAGGATCAGAAGACAGTGCTGAACTGTGACCTCAGAAGGAAGAGGGCAGAAAAGCTAACACTGACCAGGCAGCTGCTATGTTGCAGATCCCTAGCTGGACCTTAACCCATGATATCTCCCTCCCCCTTCAGATGACATGTATTACACACACACACACACACACACACACACACACACACACACACTCTTAAAAACAGGGTTCAAAGAGGCTAAATAATGGATCTCTGGTTACACAGTAGAGAAGGAAAAGAGTCAGAATTTAAAACCAGGTCAGGCTCCAAAGTTAGTGCTCTTCCTACCACACTAAGCTACCAGACAGCGCCCACTGAAAAACTCTAGGCAATGCCCCCAGAAACATCTTCATGTGCTCATCCTAGGACATATAACTTTACCACAGTCTTCTCCTGGGTGGCCTAATGCTGGGTTTACCCATAACAAGAAGTGTGTCAACCGTTCTCCCCTTTGATGGCAGGTAACGAACCTGAAAATATACATTCTCGTCCTTCATCAAATTCCACTCCTGGAACAGGCACCGTTTGACAAGCTGTATGTGTAGCGACACAATCCAATAAAAATGAAATGAAGAAAACAACTTCATTTCTTACTACTTTCAAGCTTTCCCTTATTTGAATTGTGAATACTCCAGTTACATCTCATACATGGCCTGTGCAGAAATGCATTTTATGGTGAAATGTGCCCCTTTGTGACTTGTATTGGAAACTATCTGACTTCATTTCAACAGCCTGGGTTAAAGAACCAGGGTGGTAGGTTTGTGAGAAATTCTAAAGGGCCTCTTAACTTTCTTTATGCCACTCTCCCTCATGATAGATAACCCACATGGTCAGGTATTCTTTTTTAGGAAATAAAATATCTGCCCCAGGAACCATCTAAATCTTGCCAAAGGGGGAAAACTCTTCTAGCCTGTAATATCATGTAATAATCTGAGTAATGTCAAATAACACACAAAAAAATAATGTGAAATAAGAAAGCAGGATACGAAATTGTATGAACAGTATGATCTCAAACACATATCCTGAAAAGGCAGTCCAGAAGGAATTAATTTAGAATGAGAACAGCAGTTATTTTTGATTAATGGTAATATTCATGCTTACTTTGTTTCTTTTAATTTTCAGTAATAAGCATATGCAGCTTTTAAAAAGTCAAATGAAATTACTAAAAAAAAAAAAAGAAAAACATACATTTTTCCAGAAAGAGGCTTAAATATTACTCAGTTTCCTTAGCAACAAAACTCATTGTATGAAATTATAAACTTTAAAATACCAGGCACAAAGATTGTTCAAGAAAAGAAAGTTATATGCCAATCATGCTGATGAATAGAGATATCAAAGTCCTAAGTTAAATATCAACAAATCAAATCCATATACAGAAAATAATACATCATGAACGAATAGTATTTACCTCAAAAAATGAAGATTAGAAAAATGCAACAGTAAAATCTACCACAATATAAATTATGAGGAAAAATATGTAAATCATTTAAATAAATTTAGAAAAGGCATATGATAAAATTCAACCTGCAAATTCAGGATTTATAAAAAAATACTTCCTAGACAACGATACATGAATGAAAATAAAAAAAATCTCTAGTAAGACTTTAAATATCACACTTACATGAAACTTTAAAGCATTTATATTAATTGAAGATCAAGTTAAGGATACCTACGATCACTAAATACTGTAATGACTGACCCAGCCAATGCAATAAGACAAGAAAAAGAATAATTACTTAAGGGTTAGAGAGGAAGACAGAAACCTACTTAAAAGGCTGTATGTTGCTTCCATGGAAAATCAAAGAGGAGTTGGAAGAATTAGTTAAAAAGTTTAGTAAACAGTATTATAATCAAGATTCAAGATCAATAAATAAACTGTTAATATTTCCTTTTCAAGTTCTACTTATTTTGATCCAGTCAGCAACATTTGCTTAATGGAATACTTAGTGTTCGACAGTGGAAACTGAAGAAGACAAAATAAATTAATCCTGTTACAGACACATTCTCTCTCTTTTTTAAATGTATGTACGTGCTTTCATGGTGCCTTGACTCAAATAAGTATATCAAGAATGCATATTGTTCACCACTGTTACATAACTACAAACAATTGTAAAATCTTACTTCAGGACAAATCAGCTATGTACTTTTTAAGATCCCCTTGTTCTAGAATGGGATAGGAGACAACAATATAATATAGATAATGAAGAGGATGAATATGAAGAAGAGGAAAATGAGGGGGAGAGAGTAGAAATGGGAGATGAGAAATAGAGAAAAGGGAAATGGAGAAAGATGACAGGGAAGAAAGGGGGCAAGAAGAAGTAAGGAGAGAAGGATAAAGGGGAAAGGGAAGGAACAAGAGAAAAGGAAGAGGAAAAAAAAAGTAAAGGTGATTTTTTGATCCTGTAATACACCAAGTACTATACTAAGTATTTAATTCACCTTATTTCAACCATTCTTCATAGTAAGCCTGTGAAGTCTGTAATATTCTATCTTTATTATAGGAGAGAAAACGGAGGCTCAAAGAGGTTAAGTAACATTCTAAGGTCATACAGTTAGGAAGTGGCACAGCTAGAATTTGAATCCAAGTCAGCCTGCCCAGACTCCATGGTATTGGCCACTCACTAGCAGATACTCCTTGCATATGTATCATGCTGATTTTAGAACCATGTAAGACATTAAGATGAGGAGGTTCTAAAAAGGTCACCTTCATGCTCCCATTCCAAATCTTCAACTGAGCCAATGTTCTGGAAACCTGAATCCTTTCTTTAGGATGCCCCTCGTTTTGCATGTTAAGATTAAGAATGAAAAGATATGCAGTAAGATACAATTCTTAATATATTAAGCATTCAAGAGCACAAGTTTCGTGGAAAGGTTAAATCTGAAGCAAAAATATAAGTATCAGTTTTCACTGAAAAAGCATTTGAATTCTAGTACGTATCATGGTCTGCAATATTCCCCCCACCCCCTTCCCGTGTAGCAGTTCTCCCAAGACCTGTTTTCTCACCCACTTGCTTTCCTCCTATTATTCTCAGCCCATGATGCATAAAGGTTTACATTAAGTTTTAGAAAATAAAATAGACTACTTCCAAAATATCTGTGTTTCAAGTAAACATCCAAAGCAAAATTTACAATCCTTCCTGAGGTTTTGGCTGTCCAGGAGCTGCACATGTATTACATTTATGTCCTGTGCTTCCTACAGAGTGTCAGACACGTGTCATCCCAAAACATGACCGGGCCGGCACAGCAGTGTCTCAAAACAAATCACTGCCTATACAAAGCAACTAAGTGCATCCCGGTTGGCAAGTCCGTATTGACAGATTTCAACACCTGAAAGAGAACTCTATTAATCCTCTTCCATGCAGCTCAGAAAATGGGGGAGAGAAAGAGCTGAAACCACAGGGAACAGGCATGCACACATGTGTACACACACACACACACACACACACACACACACACACACACACACACACAGCATGAAGTTGCTTACACCTAATTTAAACCAGGAGACAAACACACTGAAAGGCATGGTCATAAAGCCATAGGGCCAAATTCCCGGGAAAACCTGAAAAGTGATAGAATTACTTTATGATCAACCTGTGCGTGCCAGTCCTCATTAAAAGATATGTATGTGACTCCTCTGGGTCAAGCACTTTCTAAGTGTTGGAGTTAAAGGGTGAATGAGAGGCCCAGTTCTGAAGGAATATATAGTACAACTGAAAAAAACACAGGGCATTTTTAATAAAGTGAGATACTAACAAACTGTTATTGCAGGAAAAACAAAATAAACCAACCCCATGTGGGGAGTAAGGTAAGTACTAACCTGAAGAATAAGAGGGAACCAGTCTAGGAAAAATTGGGCAGCAACGTAAGTATTTCAGGCTGGATTAATCATCCAGTGGTTCTCCAAGTCTGGTCTCTAAAGCAACAGCATCAATTGCTGTTGGGGAACTTGTTATATATAAAGGCTTGGGCCCTACCTTAAACCTATTGAACCAAAAGCTCTGGGGATGAGACCGAGCAATCTGTGGTGTTTTTTTTTTTTTTTTTAATTTTTTTTTTCAACGTTTATTTATTTTTGGGACAGAGAGAGACAGAGCATGAACGGGGGAGGGGCAGAGAGAGAGGGAGACACAGAATCGGAAACAGGCTCCAGGCTCTGAGCCATCAGCCCAGAGCCCGACGCGGGGCTCGAACTCCCGGACCGCGAGATCGTGACCTGGCTGAAGTTGGACGCTTAACCGACTGCGCCACCCAGGCGCCCCGAGCAATCTGTGTTTTAACGAGCCTCCCAGGTGATTCTGGTGCTGCTAGAATTTGAGAACTTTGCAACAGTGAACTACAGTAGACACAATGCTTGGAGGGTAAACACGGTTGGATAGGGGGCAGGGCACTAGGCAGAGATGTTGCTGGAAGGATGGAGAGAAGGGATATCAAAAAGGTCTTTATATGTTACGAACATAATTTTGGGACTTTACCCAAGCAACAGGGGAAAGCCATTAAATATTATACTACAAGTACGGAAAACAGCAAATTAAGTTGGCAACCATTAAAAACCATATGCCATCATGAATACAGTACTGTACATCATTCCAGAGACAAGGCACTGCACAGATCAACAGCCAGTTAGAAAGGAACAAATCAACCCTACCTTTCTTTCTGGAGTCTTTCTTGGCGCTGGTTTTCACAGCTACTTGAAGTTCTGTCTCAGTTGACATCCTACTAAATCCTTAGTCCACTTCACACAGATCCCGGGCCTCGGCCAGGCTCATGGAGGATTCCTCTCCAAGAGAACGACTCCTCCCTTCAGAAACAATGCCCCGAGCTGCACATTTCATTCACTCCTTCCGCGTGCTACAAATCAAGGAAGAGGACGTTCAGATTCATCACCCTTTTGAGGTTAAACAAAAATTAGTGGGAAGAGGGGAAATGAACAGTCAGATATACAAAAACAGGAAAATCGTGGTCTCCCTGTGCAAACTGCGCACACAATTTCATCAAGTCTTTGGCGGGGTATGGAGCGAAGGGAATGAGAGGTCTATCTGAAAAACTGTCTCTCAAACTAGATACCTAACTCAAAATAGATCTTTTAAAACTGGATTTTCAAGGACAAAACCCAACTTCTTGTTTTCCATGTTTCTTGCTTTCAAGCACTAGATGCCACCCAGAAAATACAGCAAAGGCACATTTCCTGAGCAACCCCGGGGAGACATTTCCAACAACAGGGCACCCATCCATCAGCCAAGCTTGATCAGAGCCTTGGCAGCTAAAGCAGATCATAGGGAAGTGACCTGTGGTCTGTCCCTCACTGCCAGGCATCAGAGGGGACATGGAGTTGACATACAATTGGGCTCCAAGGGTAAGGTGACAAATGGGGCCGAGAAACTTTCCAGCAAGCCAATTTTTATGTCAGCTTTTTCCTGGGCTATAAGAGCAGACAAGCATTTAATGTGAGGAGAAAAAGAAAAGAATCAGGCAGCCACACAGTCCCTTCATTCTTTCTTTAATAAATATGCATTGCACACTACTAGGTACTATTAAGTCCCGACACTGTGCTGGGAAGAGATAATAATGATAATAATGATAATACAACCACTTCAATTACAGCTAGTATTTACTATGCACTTACTATACACTATGCCCCTAGCTACTGCTTCACATACATTATCTCATTTGATTTCATTTAAATTGAATGAATGTATTTCCTGTGTCAAGTCAACAGTCTTTCCCGGTGACTATCTATCGGATAGTTATATGTGAGAGTTCAGTTGAAAATAAACATTTCACTAGTTATCCATTTTTAAAGAAAATTAAGATAAAGCTACTAGAAATGGATCTTTAAACCGTGCAGCCAATCCTTAGCTCATCCCACTTAGCTAGAATGCTTGAATCCAGAAAGGCTGACCTGAATGCCAGTTTCCGTTCAAAAAGAGTAGTAAAATGAACCTCTTAGTCATGACAACTGAAGATGGCTTAACTAGAAGATCTAATATAAAAGTCACATAAAATATGGTACGGTTTATGTCCTCTAGATTCATCCATGTTGTTACAAATTGCAAGAAATGATTATGCTATGTGAAGTAAGTCAGAGAAATACAAATACCATACGATTTCACTGATATCTGGGATTCAACAAAATAAACGAAGGAGAGACAAATACACTTTTATATACAGAGAATAAACTCGGGGTTGCCAGAGGGGAGGGGGATGGGGATGGGTAAAATCAGTAAAGAGGATTAAGAACACACTTCTCGTGATGAGCACTGAGTAATGCATAGAGATTGAATCATTATATTGTGCACCTGAAGCTAATAGAACACTGTGTGTTAATTATACCTGGATGAAAAAAAAAAAAAAACAACAATGAAATAAGTAAAATTAGAGTAAGGCTCGATAATGGGGAAATTCCCACCTTATCCAAAGACACTTGGTTTGTTTATTTGTTAACAACCTATCTACTTAAAAAAACAAACAAAAAAAAAACATTGGCCCTGACTGAAAGGAGTCTGAGGTACAGGATACAAAGCCACAACCAAGGAAAATGGAAAACTGTCTTCCTAGAATGGGGTCCATAAAATCATACACAGAAAATGAGAACCTTTCCTGCTACCTTTGTGCCATCTATGTGGACCACACCACTAGCCCTCACGCCCTTTCTTACCTCTCTCCCAACAAAAGACAATGCTCCAAGGGAGCTGACAGAGCCACACACCTTCATCACTCATGGACATAATTCATTTTATTAATAATACTTATCATTTCACTGCAATAATATCTACTAAGAACGTACCATGGGCCAAGTGCAAATGCTGGCTCATTCGCGTCACAAGACATCAACTGTGCAACCACACTGGCTAAGAGTACAGATTATTTCTGTCCTCAAAGATACTCAGAGGAGCAGAGATGTTAGTCACGTAAGGGACTGTAATACATACAACCAGAACTAAAACAAATACCAGGTGTACTGGAGAACAAAGGGGCAAGCATTCACCTTTTCTTGGAAGAGTCAATGAGACCTCTCAGAGGAGGAGCCCTATACTGTGCTGTCTTGAAGAATAATTCTTATATCAAGTGGATAACAAGAGGAAGGACCAAGGGGCACTCAATAAATACATGTATAAAAAATAAATGAATGGTAGTTTCAGGCAAAAGGACCAGCTGTGCGAAGTCAAGGAGACTTGAAATCAACAGCCTAACTGACAAAAGGAGACATAAGTCTAGTAGGGAGGCAACGTACTTTCACATCTTCCCAATTTTTCCTTATGCTGTTACTTTTCTAGGGACTCTTTCTTCTCGAGTCTGCCTTGACATTCTATTGACCCCTCAAGGTTCAGTTCAAAGAAGTATCTTAGGCAGAAAGGTTTTCCAATCTCTCGATTACATAGAATCTCTCCCTACTTATATTATGATCTGCTTTTTGGCAAGCTGCATAGTTTCAGCCACTTACAATCAAGGTCATATTGAGGAAGTTACCAACCCTTCTTGGCCTCAGTTTCTATATGTGTACAATGGGGGTAACAGTGTCAACTTCATGGAGTGGCTGCGGAAATTAAGTGTGAACACACACATCACATGTTTGGAAGAGGGTCTGCCACATCTCCTGGAAAACATATAGTAAATGTGAGGCACTAATAATTTCCTGGGTTAACTGCTCAAGGTCATATGGGGGTATGTGACTACAAGTCCATACTATTATCCTCCCTTGATAGAATAAGAAACTAAGGCAGGTTAAGTCTGCTCTGTAAAGACACTGCAGGAAGAGATAGAATCTATCTCTTGTCCGTCGTGCTTGTTTTGCACACGGTAGGTATCGAACACATAAATAATAAAAGGAGCTGAAATATATAGAATTTACACAATTCCAAGAGATACGTCCATCGTGCTTGCTTTGCACCCAGTAGGTATCGAACACATAAATAATAAAAGGAGCTGAAATATATAGA